CGTAACTGCCGGCGCTGCTGTGTACTAAATTAAATTAATTGTGATAATATTATAATATGAATTATCAAATAGAAAGGCGGTACATGAGTATTATAGAGGTGAAGTATCAAACTATAATATTGCCAGAAATGTAATTATTTGTTAAGATTTTTAGATTATAAGCGGACCGATAAATGTATTAATCTTGCAATGATTTGTGTTTTTTTTTTTTTTGTCTGTCATCATCCACCTTTTCTGGTAGGAAACGAATCTAGTTGGTTATTTTGGGTCAAAAATAAAAAAGCGGTTTTCAAAAGTGGAGGGAAAAAGATACTTAAAATGTTCAGTAAATATTGATATGGACATTTCCATACATGATAACATTTTCAAAATATTTTGAATCTTTTAACTATTTATTATAGGCATTAGACATTATGATTTTTTTTAAATTATTGTCGATTAATAATTTTTTGTTCGAAAAAGGTATCATAAATAGTTCATACTATGACCAACAAATCTAAAACATATATAAACAAGCTTTTTTATATACGTGATATTTTAAATTCAGATTTGAACAAAATTAGATATAATTTAAATTTTTTAAACGAAGAATAACGATTTTAAATATTAAAAATATTATTATTCGTGGTTACCTACCTACTATTAAAACTTTTGAAGTTTAATATTATATTTTATAGACACAATGAAATATTTTTAAAATGCTAAGTTTTCGGCAACAATTAACTCAACCTACTGTATTATTAATAGGACGATTAATTAATTAAATAGTATTTTTATCATAAAATAGAATTAGTATAAAATAGGGTCACGTTTTTCGTACACAACGATTTCATATTATTATTGAATTCAAATTTAACACATCCATTACAGTGACCCTATAGCTGCACACGACACTTGATGTACAGCGCTTGCCCTCCTTTTTGAAAATGTTTCATTATTAAAAAGCTCGTTATAAATACTTATTATTTTGCGTATTGTACTGCACCGGAAACGGTGCAGAGTGGAGAAAACTAAATGTCCATGTTTGCAGTGGAGAGACCTGCAGTGGTCGCTGTAGTTGTTAAATTCAGCGTGCTCATATAATGTAATATAATATAATAAAGCAAAATATAAATTTTTTATTTTTTGTTTGGCGAAAATGTTTAAGTCATGTTTCATGTTATTGCAGCGTGTACGAGTGTATTTTTTTTTTAAAAACGTAAAATGTACCTTTACTGTTGCGCTATACATGGCCGCTCGGAGTTTACCCAAGTGAAATGTACCGAAATATAGTTTAAGTGGTCGACATTAAAGCACAAAGTTCTACCTTGCCTGACCCCCTAACTTAGGTTATGTAATAGCTATTATCCACTCGTTTCCCTATACCTATACGTAATCCACTCACTCACTCACTCACTTATCCATCCCTACATCTCAAAAACTACAAAACATACGAACTCAAAATTTGGAATAGTGGTTCCTCTAATGATCTAGATGTGTAATAAGAAATGATTTTACTAAATTTGCATTATTTTAAAGATGTAGTCAAACAGGGATCTTGAGATTCACTGTGGAAATTGAAACTTTTATCTTTTATAAATAATTGCCATTGATTACATATTATAATAGTAATTAGGGATAGTAATCCACTACACGGTAGGCATTCTACAGATAGAAGATTTAGGGGGGTGGGTCGGGTGAGATCACATAATTTATTAACGGTGGCATCGGTTACTGCAACAGGTGTATTTAACCCGGAATTCTTAATTTACAAGTTAGTAGTTACCTACCTACTAAATCAAGTGATAAATCCTAGGAATGTTTAATGTTTGCAATAATATGGTTTTGTGTGGTCGTGCTGGCATAGTGGCATCGTACCAAAAATATTGATCCGTCGGGTAGTTGTAATTGTGTAAGAACTTTTAATAGTACTATTAGTACTATACCTTATAGACGACGATGTAGGTGTTATGAAATATTCATTATTACAATGATAAAACAAAATGAAGCTTTTTTGGCAGTCTTTTGCGGTTAAATATATTTATTTCATCAAATAAACATATGTATCCGGTATGGTCTAGTGGCTAGGATACCTGGCTTTCACCCAGGAGGCTCGGGTTCGATTCCCGGTACCGGAATTAATTTTTTGTTTTTTTACACATTTTATTTTACAAACAACTCGACATTCATAATTTCATGTTGTTATTTAAATTAAACTATAGGTAGGGGCCAAGGGATGTGTTTGTCCTTGAAAATGATTATTTTTCATTTTTCTGATAATAGCTAATAATTTAATTTATGTCCAATTATCAACGATTTTTTTGCTTACACTGATTTAAAAATTTGGTATGACTGTATTGTTTAAACGAGAATATAAAGTTAAAGTACATTATTTTGAACCTAGTTATTACTTATAGAATTACTAGAATTTATTTTTGAAATATTTTAGAAAAACCTGCAGAGTTTAAAATTGGTTATTCCAGATTTTTCAATATAAAGTGAAAAATAAAACAACACATTCCTTTGATAATTTGATGATTCAATAAAAATATGTAAGTATATACGAAAGAGATCTTGATAAAAAAAAATTGTTTAACATAAAATTAAGGATTCATCCTGTTACATCGGAAATACCATAATATATAAAAAAAACTAAGGCACATGCAATTATTAAATAATATTATTTATTCCCTCTCCGGTGCCTGCCATGGTAGGCATTTCCATATTTATATTGTATAGGTCGTTATCCCACAAAAATATGAATTTACGTGTATCCGGTATTTCGGTTATTGGGTCAAATATTTATTGAGTAAAACATAATATTTTAATAACAAGTAAACATAATATAAATATTATATGATAAACGATTTACCCAAACCCAGAAAAAAATCGAATTCTATGACCTTTGCGTATACCACTAAATTATATAATAAAACAGAGAACATATACGAGCTTATATCTCAGTTGGTATACTTCTCAGCTATTATTAATGTAATTTGGCTGAAATAATTGAAAAAATAAATATCAAATATATATATTATAATATAGACCCACATGAAGAGAGGTGGGCTGCCAGAAGCATCTTTGGACGCACCACCACAGGTTTGCAATAATATACATTTTTTTCAAACCACCACAGGTCTGCAAGAATATACATTTTTTCAAACCACACAGGTGGGATAATTATTGTACAAAAACCTGGCCAAAATCGTATATTAAAAAACGCATTAAAAATATAACATAAATGACAGCATTAATTTTGTTGCGATAATGACTTAAAGAAGGGGTCGCCCACTAGTCGATCTTTAGATTATTATACAACTTTTTATTATGCTGCATGTAATAATATTATAAATAATAAACCCTAAACAATAGTGGTAGCATTTCATAAAGGTACCTAAATAAATATTTTATAATAACTAATAAGCAATTTCAAATGATATGCAAAGACTGAGTGTAAACGTTTAGTTTTCGCCCTCACCCAACTTACAAATTAGTCTAAGGACGCTTCTGTAGGCTGTAGCCAGTGATCTTAATTTAACACCGACGGACTAACTATCGTAATTAACTTGATTTCAAACGACATTTTAAAAAGGACAGATTGAGAAAAACAGCCAAATTCATATTTCACCACGTGAACCTACATTATTATGACAGATATTTTTAAAAATGATATCCTACACATTTTTTTGATTTCATCAATCAACAATTAATAATACAACAATTAACTGTTATTTACAGTAAGTTAATAACGTTAGGTTTAAAATTATAACAATTTATTTTACATTTACGCATAGGCAGTAGTAATTTATAATATATTAAAATAACATAATCGTTTAGAGTTTAGACGAACCTGTACCTAATATCCAATATTCAAACTATTCTTCACCCCCTCGATATAATCTGGCGATAGAGGACAAATCACGTCCATAAATATTGTTTGTTGAAATACAGTATATAAGGCAGGACGAACTATGTTCTAGTAATGGAATTGGATTTGCATCATAAAAAGGCAAAAACTTCGGCCGAGCTATATCTTTATTTTATTTTTCAATATAACTAATATGAAAAAAGTTACATAATTGTTTTAAAATGTGTTATACTAACATCATATTTTTGAAACTTAAATAACTTTTTTCCGTGTACCTACGTCATAATATATTGAAAAAAAATAAAAATGGTCAAAGTTCTCTTGTTCGTATACTTTCTTACACCGAACTATGTTCCTACATAATAATTTCGTAATAATGCAACAACAACTATAACCGCAGTACTGACTTTGGATCACATTAATTCTAAGTTACTATTTGAATTAGAAATACAAAGTTATACCTCCATAATATTGTACCTCGTTTAATATAATAATTAGGGCACGGATGTTGTTGGATGTAAATTTTAGATTGTTTTCAATTTTAATGTAATTTTGTTGCATTTACTTGTTTACACAACTAGATTGTTATAATAACATGTAAAATATTTATTTATTTTTTAGAATTTAAATATTATTAAAAAATGTGTAGTGCAATTGTTGGTACTTCTTAGTGCAATACTGGAATAAATTGTAATAGTTTTTACTACTACAACATCCGTGACGTATTAAGAATGGGTGATACACTAAATAACAACTCTGGTATGTGGAGGAGAATGGTCGACCGACAACTGTTCGAAGAAACAGGGAGGACCCCAATTAAAATCTACATAATAAGAGATCAAAGGATCCATTGGATTGGGCATATTATAATGCCCGGAAACGACAATTAGTGCAGTCAAAGGAGCAATGTCCTGAATCCCAAGCGGAAAAAAGCCAAGAGGATGGCCAAGAAAAATGGTGGGTGGATTTGGTCGAGAAAGGTTTCGAAGCAACTGTAGTACCTATACGAGTGGAGGAATATAATTATTCGAGATCGGGTGAAGTGGTTCAATGACTTTTGTAGGGTATATGTTGTATGAGAACCAGTAGAAGAACATAAGAATAATACATTATAAATATTTATAATAATAATAATACAATAGTCACTCACCCTCGGTGCATGTCGCGGGTCCGAGTAATTGTTGCCGGTTACGTTTACCAACGTGGTGACCAGTCCGGCCACCCTGACAGCTTCCACGTTGGCCTTGGTCAGGTCCCTGTGCAGCTTGCGCAAGTGGAACAGCGTGAGCAGCACGCACAGCAGGTTGATGATTATCCACAGGGCGTTGAGTATGTAGTGCCGGAAAGGGCCGTGCACGAGCGGACAGCCAGGCTTGTCCCTGGTCACCTCGGCGCCAGCGGCCAGCGCGCCGCTCATGAATGTCGGGCCCAGGTTGATGGTGATGGCTGCGAACCATATCATGAACGTGCCGAACACGACGCACTGCGGTGAGTCCAGCAACAGTGGCACCGAAGACACCTGAAAAGGGCATTAATTAATGTCCATGTTTAGGGTATGAAATGTTCTAAAAACATAAAGAAAATGCTTATGTACCATTAAAGTTCAATATATTGTACCAGTAAAATTCACTTAATTTTTGTTTTTATTTTAAACAAGTTTTGAATCGAAAAATATATTTTAACAAACTGCACTATTTCAAGTCTTATACGTAAACTTTAAATCTGAAAAAAAGAATTATTCTCGTTTAACTTTCAGTCGCTACTCGTTATCTCAATTTTACTCCTTATGGATCCGTTTGACAAATTACGATTAATATATTGCAGTTATATATTGTTAGCTCGTTAAAAAGTTATTTTTTTTTTAAAGTAAAATCCTTTTAAACTTTATATTTCGATTAAAAAACACGTGAAACGTAATTTAACATATTCTAAAACGAACATAGCATAGGTATCTAGATTTGAAAATCAATACAAAATGCAATGAAATCACAACCTAAGTCCAAAACCAGCCTAGAGACAATTTATTGTAAGAGAAAATTTTAAGGTTTTTTTTAGAGAATATCAATACCACATTTTAGCTTATTTTTTTTAACTTATTTAAAATTGTAATGTCACATTTATGTAACTTTGAACTAGGTACCAACTTAATTGTATACTGAATAATTAAAATCAATGACGTAATATTAACTAAACAATAAACGGTTTTTAATGAAATATAAAATAAATAAAATGGATACTAATAAATAATAAGTGTTTAATATGTTGATCTTAATTGTGAATAAAATAAATCAGGTAATTACTATCAAAAGCAATGCGAAGAATAATAATTGTTCTTTTGAGTTATCTATGAAAGTATTTACATACATATTTTACTCAAATAATTTACAGGACTGGTTTATGATTATAAACCATTATTATACTGCTGTCATCACTTATCTGTATAATAGATACACAGCATGATTAGGCTGTCAACCATGATGATAAAACCCTACCAGAACTCAGAAGCACAATCGAATTAGATAAATCTGATTCAAACAATAATGTTGTACGCACAGTGTAATTTGTAATTGCAAAATTACAAACGAATAATCATCTCTTAAACACAATATTATATTATTATGGAACCTATTTCAAACAGAATAAGTCTGTACAAAATAATTGATTTTTTTTTTGACAAGAGGTTAAGACAAATAAAAAAATACTAACAATATAATAAAAGCGTCTTACAATATTTGCCGGACCCTGTTGACTACAACAGTCATATAGGTATTGTGATTAACGATAGGGTGTAAACTATACAATGTTGGTATAGTTACCAACAATGGCTACAGCAACTGATATATCAATATATCATATTTTGTGGAATAGACACTTCGGCTAATTCTGGTCTTTACCAGTATATTATATTTTATACACACACGAGGTGACATGCAACAAACTATTTATTTCAGAAAACAATGACTTTTTAAAATGTGTACCTATTTTACATAATTTTAAGTCGTTTTAAAATACATTTTTTCGAAAAAATAATATTTTTAAATTGTTTTTAGCGCTATTGTATATATATTTTTAAAGTTTTTACTCTTATGAATGAAAACATATACGTTTTTAATTTCATATTCAGAAGCAGGTTATATTATTCGTAGTATTTTGATCTATAAGTATCGACAATACTTTGGACAAGTATCTTATTAGTTCTACAAGTATTTAAAGTTTTGATAAGCGCAGTAGTGGACCAACATTTTGCGAGGTACCTACCCCAGTGGCGCACACAGATGGGGGGGGGGGGGGTAAGATAAGCAATAACTTGTTTTTGAATTATTGTTATTGGTTAGTTAATTGAAATTTATTAGACAACAAGTATTAAATTTATTTCATTTTTAAGTTTTTGACATTATGAGTGAAAAAAAGAAAAGAATTGCCCATGGTAATATTAAGTCATTTTTTCACAAAAAGTGTAAAAAAAATGATGAACAACTCTCAACTTCAAATCTAATAACAGTAAGAATTAAGAAATACATATTTTATTTCATTTACTTAATTATTTAAGTACTAACTTCAAAAGTTTTCTAAAGATGTTTTAATTTGGTATTGGTGGTACTTATTTTATTATAAATTAAATGGCATTTTATAGGAGCTAAATGTTGATCACTCATTGCAACTATTGCAAGTTAGTCAGGAGGTTGAGGTAAAAATATCTGATGATAAGTCTAATAATCAGGATCATCCCGATCAGGTAATCAATATCAATGTAAATATTATTGGACTATGTTAAATAATATAATAACCATTAGATACAGTTAACATTAAAAGGTACATTTGAATTCTATATTTAATGTATTTCCATATTTAAATTTGATAAAACTAGCCAATGACTTAATTATTTAAAATAATTAAATTTTATAATATTAAGATTAATTTAAATTCTAAAAAATACATAATTACAAAAAATAATGATATGTTGAGAAATTTATTACATAGTCTATCATATTTTTTAAAAATAGAGATAATTGAATTTCATTGATTAGTTAAACTTTTGAATCATAAAACAATTATTACAATAATATAACTACTATTATAAACAACTATTATTATTTATGATTATGAAATAATTAATTAATATATTTTAAAGTTTAGATTACAGATATTAATTAAAAATAAATATAGTGGATAAGTAGGTATTTTTTTTTACATTAATTATTAAAAACAACGTGTTACCATTTTTTAGCATATGGCTATACAATACCTCTATAGTGGACTATTAATAGAACAACCCCAACCCCCCCGAAAAAAAAGCCTGTGTGTGCCACTGACCTACCCCACTGTTTTATCACTCTAATCCGCTCATCTAAACTTTAAATATTTATAACTCATAAATTACCTACTCATCCATAATTCAATTTTTGTACGTCAAATTACCTTAAAAAAAATAGTCTACTTCCGAATAAAGAAAATATTTTCAAAAAACGTTTATAATTTTTTAAATAATAATGTATGTTTTACGTTAAATAGATCACCTGGTATACACGTCGTTAAAACGGATTTCATTTAAATTTAGAATATTTTACGTCGGTACATTATGACATGTTTATTAAATTAGAAACGTGTTTGACTAAAACCTGCAATTCACAAGGTTGTGTTATCTAACTACATACATTACTTTTAATTACGTTTTAATTGAAACAACGATAGGTAGCTATATATACGCTTTAGTTTCGGATGTCTATTTTGATCGTAAGATTGCTAATTACTTGATGACCCGAAGGGTTGTTAAGTTATAACAATGTTTAGAATAATAATTAGTATTCACCGGGGGACGGATATTGCTTGACACAACTTTCCGGCCAAACACAAATCCGCTCGTTACACGGGCGCACTCGGCTAAAACTCTATTGTATTTGTAGCTTACCGTATTTGTTTGATGTTATTATAATATTATTAATAAAATATTGCTTACAATGATATTAGAAATACAGCCCGTACCTATATACCAACGGAGAGATCCATTTCACTGGCCGCACTAATTTCAAAGTACATGTTTGTGTTTTTCATTTTTAATGTAATTAAAAGTTTCAATCATAGATTTTTATAAAAAAAAAAAAAAAAAACTGATAATAATATTAACTAATACTATAAATTCTCAATGACATTTCAATTATATGAAAATACATATTAATTTTCGTTAATAACATTACAAAAAAGACATCTTCAACATTAGAGTTTATAAGTAGGACATATAAAGATTTTACAAATTCTAATGCGTTGAAAAGTGAAAACTCTATATTCGTCTCTAGTACGTTATTCTTTAGAATACAACTCAGTTATTTGGTCACCCTCTAGTGCAATTCATATACAAAGTCCTGAAGCTATTCAATATCGTTTTCTTAGATTTATTTCTTATAAATGTGATGTCCCTCGTCCACCTCACTCAGAGTACACACCATTATTAATCAAATTAAATATGACCAGCCTAGCTGTAAGGAGAAATATTATTGATTTGAAGTTTCTATATAAAATAGTAAACGGTCTTATAAACTGTCCTGAGTTACTCAGTAGCTTAAATTGTAATGTTCCTCAATGTCGAACTAGATCCAAAATAACGTTTTACATTCAATTTCAAAGGACAAATTATGCACTTGTCTCGCCTTTAAATAGATTAATGAAATTAGCTAATGATATCCAGGTTGATTTATTTAATTTTCATGCTTTTGATGGTTTTTGTGATTATATTATCAATTATACATAGTATTATATTATATATATTATTTTATAATTTATATTATTTATTGTTTTATATTTTTAATATTTTTTTATTATTATTATTATTATCCTAGATATTATTGTTATTATTATTTTATAATCCCCTTATTGTTTTTGTGATTATATTAATGTCATTCAGTGGCGGCTCTTGGGTTTTTAATGGGTAGTGCACATCCAAAAAAATATAGCCAATATAATATATATATATATATATATTATATATTATAAATTGTATTAAATGATTATTTACGAATTTTAGTTACTCACATTTCACCAATTAGCTTTTATTTTGTTTAGATTTTTCAACACGATTGTTGTTTTGAATTTTTGATAATGATCGACTAACATTATTTATCAGCTGATAATCGGAAATATAATAAACGAATGAGAGTAAAAATAAATTATAATGCCTAATGCCTATGCCGACGTGCAACGAAAACAATTCGCTGAAAACAATTTAACTGGTTATGTGCACAAAACGAATGTTCACATCAATTCCATTATAACTCGGGTTGAGTGTTTCGACTTGTTATGATTTTTACATTGTAAGTACAAATGTGCACAACAATTGTGTGAACTACTGTGCCACTATAATACACACCGATACCGTTCCGTCGGGGACAACCACCCGACTGTTTGGCCATCGAAATAACCCAATCTAAATATTATATTATTTTCTGAATTTATGTTTTTTTTGTTTTTAAATATAAGCTTAATAACACTTAGTACTTAGTTGTATTCTTATGATTTATGTTTTCAATTTTTCTTGAGTTTGGGTAGGTAGTACACGTGCACCTGTGACAGCCACTGCTGTCACTACAGTCAACCAAATAGATTTAAGTTTACAAATGTAATAACTATTAAATTGTTATTGGGTCCATCCCGTTTAAATTAAAATAAATAAATAATAACCAAAAATGATTATTTTTTCAATATTCCATACCTATCTAAATTATTTATTAATATTATTACATAAAGGTAGTAGGTACATTATTTAAAAAAAAAAAAGGTATCTGCTCCTGACTATAAAATTAAAAATATATTTTCATAGCGGTTCGTCATTAAAGTAAATTATTTTTTATTATTACCTACCTATTATTAATTTAACATTTTACAACTGATCAAAATTTATCTACGTTTTTACAATGTCTTTTAAATTAATTAATTAATTAGCCGATTAAAATTGATAAAAACGTGTGTTTTCTTTAAAAATAGGATAAATATTATGAATATAAAATTAGTAAATGCACACAATATATTACAAAATCAAGCCATTTTTTATTGGAAAGCTCCTCCTTTAGTTGAGTTGAATCTGTGAAAAAGTGACATTTTTTGTATTGGTTTTTGATCTATATTAACAAGAATGGTATTGCCATTGCGGAGTTGCTTCTTACACATGAACCAGTGGTGATGGAGGGGGGGTTGGGAGCTATACCGAGATATTATATATTTTGTATTGTATGTAGATTTTAAATTTTTGTTTGAGATTCGGCGGTGGCGGCCCACACTGACATGATAATGGTAAGTTTGATCTTATAATTTATGTATATTATATGGTAGCAGAGAATAGTGATCATTAATTAATTTGTAGTGTTCGCAGAAATAGTTTATTAGGAATTAAAACATTTGCATATTTTGCATTATAGCTTGGTTTATTTTTTTTGTTTATGTTTTTCAGTAAGGATAATATTGTTAAGCTTTCAGCAACCTAAATGTATTATGGTTATATTCGTATATATAAATTAACATAAAACTTGGTCTTTTTTAAACATGTATGACCGACCTATTGTACATTTATTTATTTTGAAACATTTTTTTTCTTCAATATCATAAAAATTGACTTAGAAAATCAGTGAAACGCATCAAGTTAAACGCATTACCACATATAATATAATATATTATATACTATTTCACTTTAGCTAATGAAAATTAGATCACCTTTATAAAGTCTGAAAACATTCTCGTAGGTAATTTCCTTTTCATCGAAACGTACGTCCTAGTATTTTCGATTCTGAGCGAAACGAGGTTATGATATAGTGTATTGGATATTTTACAATCACTTTTTTTGTGAACACTTTTTCAGATGAAAAAAGTATTTGAAAAAAATCACGTAGTACCTCTGAATAAGGATATCGAGAATAGACGGTGTTTCGAAGAGATCCTTTTTCACAAATAGTTTTCCATAACCACCCAAAAGAATGTGAATCGCAGTCCACACAGAAGCGGTTTGGTGATTTACTATATTATTTTGATTATTCATTATTACGTTGAAATTGTACACCAAAACACCGATACTACCATAAACTACTATCAACTAGGATACTATCCTAAACCGAGTTGAGCGAAGCAAGACGAGTTCTCAACATCCGGCGTCTGTATCCGTTCCGGATTTTATACTATATTTATTTTTCCATCAAAGTGAAAACTCTTGTTTGTCGGCAAACCATATTTTCAGTTTTATATTCGGTCTATCAAAGTATTTCTCTTTCAATTTATTTTTTGCTTATCAAATTCAAATAATGAGCCTATAATGTAAAAAGCAGATAAAGTCTATTATACAAAAATAAAATTATTTGTAATAGCCATTTCAGATATTGCGGCGTTATACAATATAATATTTTACCATTATATTAATTGATTCGCAAACATAAATCATAATATATTATACTATATGTAAATAGGGCCCGCAAAAACATTTAGTACTGAGGCCCAAAATTTGAAGTGGGGGGGGGGGTCTATATTGTATATATAATATATATATAATAACTATAATATTATGGACCCTAAATAGATAAAAAAAAAAATCCCATGGCGGTGTTAATAAAGAACATAAACGAATAATTATAATGTAGATGTTGAAGCTTTTAAGTTCTAAATAGCGTGTTTTGCTCAGACCACGAAATAAATATACCTACAGACACGAATAATGTGTGAAATTATCCAACCGACAGTTTTTTGATACTTATTAGATCGATTACCTATTATATTACTATTATATTTTAGATTCTATAAGCATTGTCATGGATGTATTGATTTAAAGATGATAATATTTTCTTCATTTTGTTTTCATGTTTTGAAACAGAATTACTTAATCATAAACGTTGAAGGTATTTTATATGGCTTATATTTTTAGGAGGGGGTGAGTCAAGAGTAAAAAATTCCTAGTATACCTAAGTAGGTATACTTTCAAAAATAATATGGAAACACTATCAAAAATCAGAGAAAATAATAAAATGTTTATGCGACACCAGTTGACAAAATCGATTTTGTTTTGTTTTATTGTTGTATCTATACTTAATTCAAAATGGAATAGCCTCAAACGCCCATTTTATGTTAAGATTTTCTAGATAATATGATACATTTTCAAAATATTTTGGCTCTGTTTTAGATATTTATAGACATTTGACATTTTTTACTTAATTTTTTTTTTTTGGATACCTATTTATGTCGATAAAAATGTTGTTGCATAGTCAAATAGCTTGACAAATGTATACAAGAAGACTTAAAAATCGTTCTTATAGCAGTTGAAAAGCATCGAGGATACATAGTGTTTAATCAATATTTTTAGTCGCATTTTTTTGATTGAAACATTTTTTCATCACATATATTATTATTATTTTCTATACACGATAAAAGTTTTTAAATTTTTAGACTTATTTTAAGCTATTTATAATAATAATGAATCCATATCAACACAGTTCTATAATAGTATGTTAGTGTTGGCTCATAAGTTGATATCAGTAGGTAATATTAAGTAACACCAATAACTATTAGAACAATTTATTATTATATAACGTTATGCTATATAAGATAAACTGTTGTCAAACATTTGTTCATCTTCTACTCTATTATTGATTGATAAATAAGTTATGAATAGAAGTACCAAGTAGATTATATAATATATGTTGAATAGATGATGCACTTTACGCTTACATTCGTTTTTGTGTGCAATGATTTATCATTGAATTCATAATTAACACAAACATTACAGTGACGTACATAATGACGATTGACGAAGTACTGCAGTACACCAGTCGCTTACCAAATATACACGGCAGAACTACTTCCATGGTTTATTATTTTTATCCAAGGATATCTGAATTCTGAAATTCGGTCGGTAAACAATTGTAAAAAATTATATACTAGCACACACATTTCATTCTTGATTCGTGACTGTATATGCTCTTTCTCCTGTGGTCACCGATGTCCAACAGTCAAAAAACCATTGGTACCTATTTGTGATTTCTATATTCATAACACTTTTCTTTTTAACGATTATCATTAGTTGTATGCAGTGGTATATAAATAATAATAGTAATATATTATTATATAGGTCATTGAAATATATACAATTACGAATGAAATATGACACTAAATGTCAAAAAAAACAAGATGATGCACCCTCCCCCACATTCGCCCCTTAAAAAAAATCATGGGTTGTACTTGGGGGTGAATCAATTCAAAAATGTCAAGTTAATAAAAATAATGATATCGATTGAATTGAACTCACCTGATAGCCGTCTTCCTCGTCGTCCTCCGGGAACACCGGTGAATCGTTTAGGACGATGGTCAGCATGTTTATCGTGGACACGGTGACCAGCAACAGGAACGCGGTTTCGACCAGGCTACATTTTTTCACCGGCACACAATAAAGGAGGCTGTGCGCCAACGGTATCAATATGGCCGCCCTCGCGCAGTCCACCATCGCTTGGTGGAATAATAGTCCTTGCGACCACCTGTATAGCAACAGGATATAGACATATCTATAGTCTTCATAATATAATAATTCAGAGAGTCAACAACTGTTGTACAATACACATAGATAAATATCATATAGGGACATGCAAATTTCGTGTTATATAATATTATTTAGTGTGGTACAAATAATATTATGATTGGCGATAATCTATAGAATAGCACTCAAAAGTTGAAAACGTACAAATATGTTATGATAATAATTATTACGTTTAAATATTATTATAATTTAAAAATACATACAACAATTAGGATTTAGGATCAACGAAATTTTGAATTAATATTAACTGATGTCTACACTTAAAAACATTGAATTGAATATTTGTAGTGACTCTAGAGTCTAGACGAAAAAAAAGGATAAGACAATACAATTATGAAGTCAAATGAAAAACACAATGTACAAATTCATTTAAAAATAGATTAAAAATTACGAGAACGACTCGTCGACTGATATCCGATAAAGATAAAAACAAATTATGATGTTATACAAGAAAATATAAAATATATGAACGTAACAAACAAGTACAAAGAAAAAAAACACATTTCCGGGGGGATTTATACTTCCAAAAAATTTATATGCGTAATAAATGTTTTATATTACCTTTATATATATTTATTATTTTGTATTAAAATCTGATTATTGGGAAAAGTAAATATTCATAAAAATATATGAAAATATGTTCAATTTTAATAATAAAAAAAAAGAAATAAAAAAGATCATAAATATTTATGCGTCTGCAAAAAGCCAGAAAAGTTTGATTCTCATCTCTTTGTACCGAAAAATTATTAGGTTATACAATGTACACGGTACTGTTTCTACACGTAATATTTTATACAAATATGTGAATATTCGGCAGATAAAAGATTATTGTACACGTCTTTTATAATATTATAACGAATTTTTATTTTTTAAACATCGAAATGTCTGTTTCTTAAAGCCAGAATATTATCTAAAAAGTCATGTCATCTTTCAATTGATTCCGTTTAAGCATATTTACTATAAATATCAATATAATATATAAATTTGAAATAAACATATATTATATCGCACCCTTGGTACAAGACCGCCACAACTCAAAATTACGATGTTTTGAGTAAAGCATACAGTTCGATAGCTATTATTTTTCTCTACTAAATGCTATACTGCCACAAGTCGTATCACAATAAACGTATCCGTAATACATTTGTGTCAGTATTGAATTTATTCATTTTTATAGTAAAAGAAAAATAATACCGCCATATTTTGACTTATTGCCTTGTTGCGTATTTGTATGTTTGTTTTATTAGAAACATGAAAAATCATAACTGCCTCATTTTGATTTGAGGCGTTTCAACTTAATAATTCTCAACTGGATTTGTACCTTTGAAAAAATTAAAACTGCCACATTTCGGTTTGTGGCAGTAATAAATTATCAGCCTTTTGTTTTATTAGCCACAATCTTAATAATGGCGGTATTGATTATAGTGATATGAGAATTAATTGATAATGTGGCGATTATATTTAATGATAACCATGATAATAATCTGATATTATACCTAACCGTGACCAAAGTAATAAATTGAAAAACGTGGATTTAGATAATATTCTATTTTAATAACATTATAAAATAATATGTAGTTACTATTAATATGATTAAACTTTGGTTTGAAAACAATGGTATAAAAACTGTATTGATAAAATATGATAAACATTTCATAATTTTTATTTTAATAGTGAATCATTAAATATTATAATATTATAAATTATACTCGTATTGTACTTAAACGTTGAAATGGCAAAACGTTTTACGCGTAGCTCCAAAATGATCAATATCGTGCAAAATTCTAGCAATACAATTTACGAAGATAATAACGTATCCAATGTTACTACAAAAAAACGTAAAATTAATAACAATATGTACATTCAGTCTGCTAAAAGAGCCGGTATGTCGTATAATTTTTTTTCATACATAGTAAATACGTTATATTTTATTAGTTGTAATTAATTATGGTTTATACAGAATTGTTGTCAAAACAAAACATACCTGTTATGAATCAAAACTATAAAACTAAAGTCCAACTATGGCTTCAGAGTAATTTACAAAATACAGAGTCCTTTTCATTATTACCTTCAAATCCAGGTGAAAAAAATTCAAAGGATGCTATAGGTAAGTAACTTATATATTATTTTCAATTGGTTGATAGATAATTAATTATATTTTAAGATAAAATTCTATTTTGTATCTTCATAGAACTAACTACTATTACAAGTTGTGTTGATAATGTCATGGTAAAAAATGATGATTATACTGATTTACAAAATGAGACAACTTCATTATTAACATCAAAATTAAATGAAAACAAATTAAACAATGCAATAGGTAACATAATATTATATTGTTTTAGTTGTTTGGTAGGGAGGTACCTACTTATGATACTACTTAATGATATTTTTATATTAAACTATATTATTTTTTTAACTTAACAGAACAAACTGGCATTACACGTTTTGTTGATAATATAATGGTAAAAAATAATAGTTGTACTGATTTACAAAATGCAGAGTCTGCTTCATCATTAACTTCAAAACCAGATAAACAAAATATAGATTTGAATGGTAAATATTTTAAACATTAAATATTTTCTTTTAAACCATAATTTAATAACTGTTTATTTTAATTCATAGAATACAGTAGCAGCCACTCTGAATTTGATGACAGTGACAAAGATAAAGATTGGGTGATTGAAAATAGGCAAAAAAACTTAATATCACTTGATTCATCAGTAGACGAGGGTGTCAATAATAATGTTAGAGATATTGAAGCAGATGTTGTAGCTAACCACCATCCAGAATTAGAAAATATTGACTAAATTTATGGCCACTCTTTATTTATATGCTGTAACATACTTGAGTATTTCTTCTATTACTCATAAGTACCTAATTGTTGGACATACCCAGAACGAAGGGGATTCTGTCCATTCAGTCATAGAAAAACAAAAAACAAGATTATTAAAAGCAGGTTCTATTTACTCTCCTCAACAATGGGTAACTGTTATTCAATCAGCAAAAAAAACAGGAAAGCCTTTTAGAGTCCATGAATTAAACTATCAACATTTTATTGATTTCAAGAAATTGACATCTAATATGGGAAACAATTTTAACAAGAATACATTAGGACAAAAAGTTGTTTGGAAAGATGTAAAAGTATTGAAAGTTTCTAAAGAACATCCTGATAGACTTTTTTATAAAACATCATATGAAGAGAAGGATTTTGGTGAAATAATAGTGATGAACAAAACAAGAAATGCCAAAAGAAAAAGTTGTGATTTAGAGTTAAGTAAACTCTACACTGAACCACCAGGTATTTCAAAAGAAAAAAAAAAGACCTAATTCATCTTTGTGAAAGTAAATTGATTCCTGAAAACTATCATTATTTTTTCGAAAATTTGAAAGTATCAAATTCCTGTGTTGCTGAAGTCAATGACGAGAACAGTGATTAGTATTTTTATTTTTACTAAGTTTAATAAACTATTTTTTGAAAACATAATTATATAATATAAGATAAATAAGACTATAATATATTCAATTTTATCTATGATTCATAAACAATTAAATTACTTTTTTAATAATAATATAGCCATTTGTATAAGTATAAGTTTTATAATTTGTATATCAATAGATAAAAGTATTATTCACCAAAGAAGAAGGAAAAGTCTTTATTTTTAAATTTTTAATTTCGTTACTTAATGATATTATGTAAAAGTTTTTATTATTATTTTGTTTATTCAAATGTTATTACTTTCATTAGGTACCTACATATTGTGTTATTACTTATAAATATTATTCATCAAAGATGAGGGAAAATACTTTATTTTTAGTTTCTATACTTAATGATATTATGTAAAAGTTTTCATTTTTTATTATTAATTTTCTTTATTTAAATGTTATTACTTGCATTAAAATATGTGTTATTACTTAAACCAAGTCACAATAATAGAAACAATTATTTTTAAAAATGTCTTGTGTAAATTAGTACCTAGTTGTGTCATGTGAAAAAATTACTTTTTATTATATAAGCAAACAACAGACTGCCACATTTTGTGTTGTGGCATTAAATGAAATTATTAAGAAAATCAAGACTGCCCCATTTCATTTTGTGGCGCATAAAATATTTGGTTTGAAATGAAATACCGACACAAAACTAAATGTGGCAGTTTTGTTATTCCGATTCCTATTTCTAAACTGCCATAACCTAATTTACCTGTGTCTGATTGAGATTTAACGAAGTAGATCAATAAACAAATATTAAGTTTCAGGTAACATGGATAATTGCAAAGTATTAAAACTTAAGTTTTAAAAGTAACGATTTGGGAGCAGATTACAATTTAAAATTTAATTTTCTCAAAACTATGTTTTCTGAGTTGTGGCGGTCTTGTACCAAGGGTGCGATATCACAATGCAACATAACGACATATTTGTAATCGCCGGATATACTTTTTTATTTAATAGGATTTGATACCGTGATTTTTCTGTTTTTGTCTAACAAAACGCTCGACATAGAATTTTAGTCGTGTTTTTTGCCAAACATACCAATTGATCTAATGAAACGATAAGAACTCTGAAAAGAGACTTGAATTTGTCGTCAAGTCTACTTGAAATCGACTTTTCCACATTTTAGATTCTGAGTGGAACGATGAATGTATTGATTTTACAATGATGTGTTTTTTTTTTTAATTTTTTAATTTTTGTGTCTGTATTTGGGGCAGTAAAACTAGTTCGATTTTCTTCAAAAGTCTTTTGTTCGATGGGAAAGTGAATTTAGTTGGTTCATTCGGGAGTTCAAATTTTAAAATTCCCAATAGTTTTCAAAAGCGCCGGGAAAAGCAAAATAAAAATTAAGGAAAAACGGGAATTTTTACTCAAAATCAGTTTTCGATTCAGTAATCGATTTTGGTTTTTTGTCTAACTCTAATACAAATTAACAAATTACATGACATTTTCAATGGTTGCTTATATTTCCATTTTCTATACGAGATACAATTTTCAAAATATTATGATTTGTTTTTAACTGTTTAGGAACATTTTCAGTTTCCAATTTTATTAGTTTTTTTTTCTATGAATGAGAGTAAAACTTTATTAGTTGTTTTACAATAATATCATCAATTAATATACTAAGTAATATCATAGGCTGACTGACAGTTTTCACTCAGAATCGTTTTTCTTATATTATAATGATATTTTATCATTACAGTGACCCACTTGTAACATACTGTACAGCAGAGTGACATCCACTTACCCATCTTTTTTGATATTATACCCCAAATTCCTTAAAATGTAGATTTTTGGAGAAGGTCAAGTCAAAAATGTGGGAACGATTTCAAGTACACTTGACGACAAATTCAAATCTGTTTTTAGAATTCTTATCACTTCATTAGATAAATTGGTATGTTTGGCAAAGATTCTAAAGAGCCCGTATAAAATCCTATGTGAACGTGTGTTAGACAAAAATAGAAGATCACGGTGTCGAATCCCCTTAAGACTGCAGAATATTCTCCATAGTCACGTCATGTCATCTTTGTATTGATTCCGTTTAGGTGTGTTTACGATACAAATCTATAATATCTAAATTATAATATTTCAAATAAACGAATAGTGCAGTAGATCTGCACATTGCGATAATATTATGACGACGTGTTTGTAGTCGTCGGCCAACTTTTTATTTTTATTTTGCGCATACGCATACCGGGATGACCTTATTTCGCGTGTAGCGAGCTGAGCTGACTGTTACAAGCTTTTAACCACTGACTGGTGTGCGACTGACAATCATCAAATAATATTATAAATTCTACCAATATATTATATTTTATTCACAATTTACATGGTAGAACATTGGTAGAGAATATATAATCTACACATAGATATAATTATTACGTAATTAGAGTGGTAAATTATTATTTATCAGTAGGTACGCTTAATATTAATAAAATATTATAATGTAGAGCTAATGAAAAAAGATTTTTTCTTTTTTTAATGTTCCTCTCAATAAACTTGTAAACTATTTATACTTCTCGAGTAGTTAAACAAACTTAGAAAATTACTGTACTAGAAATAGTTATACAGTTACATTGTAAATGTGGTGGTTATAATTAAATGAGATTGTTAATTGTTTAATTCAATTTGTTTTAAAATTATTAGAATAACAACAGAATATTGAATATTATATCGACTTAGTGAAAATATATTGTATACTACTCTATATAGCAACACTTCATTTTAATGACGATGAATTCATTCAAATTTATTTTTCAAAATTGTAATACAAACATAAACTATGTTTTTGTTATATTGGGTACTTGTAGTATAGTAGGTACTTATATAAGTGCACTTACGAGAAATTCCCATTAAAACTGTTAAAACTGAACTAATTGTAATAAAAACGTAAAATCGATGTAATAATTCTTAAGCCAGCTTGAAAAGCAGCTTTAGAGCAGGTATAGAGATGTTAAAACTTTTCTAAAGAACATCTTCGTTTATAGAAGAGATGTTTTAAAAACCGACAGAAAAGTAGAATAAGAAAATAGTGGGTAATAAATGTTTTTTTTCTCTCCATAAAAGTGGCTACCAAAACCTATTCGTTTTCATAGTGACGTGGTAATTCCTTTTTTCTTTTTCTTTTTCGTTTTATCGCAGTACACTAAATGGTTATCTCATTGACGTTTTATGGCAAATGTCTTCCCGAATGTATACGCGATAGCCTTTTGTAGTCATTTGATGGAATTGAAAAAAAAGCCACTATCATAAATACAATTTTTGATATTTCCGAGATCCGTCGAGAGAGTACCAGTACCTACAAAGGTGCATATTTAGGAGTTTCTGAAAAATATCACAAACATTCGCTGGGCGCGGACTTCATGAAAAATACTTTGATGTAAATGTAATTGGTATCCTACATTTTCTCTCCGTTATTTTTACTTACCTAGGTAGTTGCTAATGTTTATAGTGTTTCTCTATCCGTTTAAATAATCCTCCATAGCCAGTATTTAATAAACTATTTATGGCTGGATTAAGTTTCTCTCTCATAGATCAAACAAAATGCGGAGCTCTTCTACAAACCTTTAAGCTCATATTCCTAAAAACATACACGTCCGTCTGTCACGCTTAAAATTCTTATAGAAATTAATTTATATGTATAACGTAATTAGACGTGGTAATAATTATTGTCACCTATAAAGTAAAAGTAACTTGATGAATTTAAATGGTGACATTGGACGAAATTTGAATAACATAATAGGCCAGCAGGTACTTGATATTGTGTTAGATAGCAAAACTTACAATTGTTATGCTGTGCGAATAAAGTTTAAATTTAAGCAAAACCAGTGAAAGTTGAGGTGATAATAATATGCAAGAATCGTGTACAATACTGAAGTTGTCTTTATTCAAAATGTGAGAGAAAAAAAATAAAACTCGAGCTTTCCTGTTTTCACAAACTTGCTGAAACTTTTCACTAAACAACCAAAATTTAATGAGAAAAAAAACAAGAATTATTAATTATGAATTAGTGTTACAAAAACAATAGTTTTTAATGGTTGGTAGCTATAAGGTACCTATATTAAAGTGTCGACCAAACTATCAAAGAAGATTTTTAAAATGTTTCATAATAATATACAGACTACCTATACAATATAATTAATACAAATATTACCCCTATTATTTATTATTAATGTATAAACAAAATGGTTTACAAATAATATTATGATTTATTATTACGAGCATTACTTTATTATTAGGTATAAACAATAACTTTGGAAGTAATTTGCCAATTTTATTTCTGTGAATGTTTTATAATATGCCTATAATATTGGTAAAATATAGTTTAATTAATGAACAACGTAGACGGCATATCTAATACTTTTTTGGCACCTTTAGGTAGTCACTTTAAAAACATATTATAATATGCTCTTCTCGGTTTACTTTGTCGAAAATTCTTTCTTCGGTCAAAATTGAAAAATGTGTATTATTAATAATCCAATTGTAAAAATAATATCTCGACAGTTATCTTCAATTGGTTTTATATCATGTTAACTTAATATTTATGTCAATACAATGCGTTATTTTTAAAACGTTTTTCATTTCAATAGGCGGACGTGTACAAGTTTCGAACAAGTTTCTAGAGACGATTCAAAACTTATTACTTAAAACTTTTCTTACCAAAATATCTGCAAAAAAAATAATAATAATAATAATGTAAAATAATATAATAGATCCTTCGGAAGACTTATTACCTTATTTTGCTGTCATTTAAAGTAGATTGGGTATTTGACAAGACGTATTATAGGACATGCCTTTATAATTGAACTATCTGACACACGGAAAATGCGTATAAAATGTCA